TATCTAATTTTATTTATTTATTAACGCAAATGTGGGTTCTGAGAAAAATACTGAAAATTTCGATGATAGACAAAGCGACAAATATGGCGACAGTTGCTCATGTATATCGTAAAGCGAAGGCACACAATCAGCGGAAATAATAGTCAATACTTAGCAAAGTTGAAAGAAACAGAACACGAGAAAGACCGCGAATAATACACTTCAATAACGCCATGAAAATGACTAACAGATAGCAAGAAATGACTCGATTTATGGTCGACAAGCACGGCGAAGCAATGATCGCCAATGTGCTCACGCATTACACCCGAAAAAGAATTGCCAGTTCAAACAATACGAATCAAATATTTATATATCACCTTTCATAAATTCAGTGTTTTCTTTTTATGATATACATTAATATTACTACAATATTTCTTTGCGGATCATAAACAAACAACATTGAGTAGATGCGCTGCTGGTCCTTGCAATAGAGGAAAAATCTTGCCAAGTTGCCATTGCCGACTGACTGTACCACCATTTCACTTTTACGGTTGAAGGACTGCCAAGATGTATATTTCACGTCAATCACAAAGCCGTAGCAGTCTATTTGGTACGCAATTAATCAAACATGTCATCAAACGAGCCCTTTCTACAAGAATTATTATAGTAAGCGTTCATGCATTAGTCGCCTTCATCCGCCTGAACCCAGCCTAATCTTACCTAATCTACCCCAACCCGAGGATTCTTGGTCAGGGTATGGGAGCGAACTTGCTGACTACCTGACAGGGCGTGAAGAGAGCAACCCTTAACAAGCTGCCTTCAAGATGAAACGAGGTCTTAAACGAGGTGGCCAAACAAGCATTACACCAGACAACTCGTGGTCTTTACTTCCCTACAGCGCTTAACACGTGTATTTCTTCACAGTCTCCTAACATCTAACACAGCACGGCTGCTAGACCGAATGATGCATGGCGCATCCATTTACTCTCCATTTAAACACATGTTTGCGTTAAACACAAGCAGACACAAGTGTAACTGTGAGCGCGAGTGAGCATACGCGTGAGTGCCTGATAATAAGAGGATGTGTTTGTGTGTTAGCGCTCAAATCTCTATATCTATCCTCCCAGTGTTTCCGTAAAAAATTATTACTATATACGTCCTTATGTGAGAACATTCTAATGTATTATCAGATCGTCTCGAGTATCGAGTCGTCACACATTTATTTCTCGTTGTAATATGTAACCTGAATTATTAAACTTGTTACACTTTTCCTTACTACAGATCAATTTATTAGGCGAATCACACAATCACTTTTGTTTAAGATTTTTCAACGATACTCCTTGCCATGAAGACATTATAAGCAGCCTGATAAACTTAAAAAAGCCGACAGTAAACTACATGTTGTAAAAGAAATACAGCACCCACGCCACCAGTACCTCTCACCCAAACTTACATCCTACATTAAAAAAAACACTATATCAAAATCATTACACCAACAGCATTAAGGTACCGCTGTAGCAGGAATCTCCCCCCCTCGCCCCTGACTGAAATTCACCCCCCCCCCGACTGCAATCCCCCTAGTCGTATGTTAAGACCTTGCAATGCACATACCTGTTAACTTGGATCTCCAATGCATTTCGGAAGCAGGCACGGGACTGTGTGCACGGCCTGGCAACTGAGCGGGGAGGCTGGATGAGGATAGCGTGTCCTGTTGATTGTCAAGTCTGCGTTTCCCCGTCCTGGATAGCGAAATTAGAGTCATTAACCACAACAAAAGACTAAACGAATTAACTGTATTTCGTTATTTTGTGTCGGCTACATGTTTTTTGTTTATGTATCAATATGTCTATCTATGTGTGTGTGTGTGTGTGTGTGTGTGTGTGTGTGTGTGTGTGTGTGTGTGTGTGTGTGTGTGTGTGTGTGTGTGTGTGTGTGTGTGTGTTGTGTGTGTTGTGTGTGTGTGTGTGTGTGTATGTATGTATGTATGTATGTATGTATGTATGTATGTGTGTGTGTGTGTGTGTGTGTGTGTGTGTGTGTGTGTGTGTGTGTGTGTGTGTGTGTGTGAGAGAGAGAGAGAGAGAGAGAGAGAGAGAGAGAGAGAGAGAGAGAGAGAGAGAGAGAGAGAGAGAGAGAGAAGAGAGAGAGAAGAGAATTGATATAAGTTGAAACAGAAAGGAAAAAGCAGGAGAGGTGGAGGTTGTAGAAACAGAAAATCCGATAAAAGGAAAATAAAAAAGGATGAAGGGATAACACACAAGAACAATGTAACAGAAGAAAAAATATTAGAGGAAGAGAGAACTTCAGACAGTGAAAAAACAACCATGTTTATGGAATGAAACTAGCAAAGGCATGCATATAAATTCACCCACTATGCTAAACGTATCTCTAAAAGAGTAATTAAAAAGAGCTATATCTACTAATCATAATTCCTCATTGAATATCTAGATCATAATTTTTCTGTCAAATCTTGATTACCTCGAGAATCAGTTTGGGTAAACTGTACCCGCTAACAATACTATTTACTAAATACAATACAATTTAATAAATAAAAAAATCTTAATTGTACTGGCTACACGAATCCACTTAAAAAATGCCGTGTGACAGAAGTCCTACAATTGGAAGCCCCTCCGGAAAGTGACCAAAAGCAGAGCTGACCGCTTTTCCGTAGCAGCATTTCTGCTTTTTAAACATTAGATGAATAAGAAAATGGACATAAATTATAAAATTGATTCATACACTCATAAACGGATGAACATTAGATTACAGTTGCAGTGCGTAGGTTCAGAGAATTATCATAAGATTCCCTGCGTTACTTTCTTGCTCATTGCACTGCATGAAATAATATGTAATAGATACACTAAACCAGAAATGTAACAACATTCAACAACATAAAATGCACCCGCACCTCTTTACAGAAAATGTATTAGATGTACTACTGAAGAAAATACAACATTGAACCTGTAAACGATTTATCTAAAGATTATACGACTATTCGTTATGAGTGTGTTGTAGGGCTCAAGACTTTGTCATTCTATGGGATTGTGGCTCCACCTTTAGTGATGCCCAGCCAGAAGACCCACCTGACGTGACATCGAATGAAATTTCCGCAGCGATGACGTTCGATCTGCCACATCTTGTCAGTTCATGGGAAAGGCTTGATCAGGAAGAACAAGAGGTGGTCATGACGTCACAAAAGTTGCGATTTTGTTTTTGAAAAAAAGCAAGGTATATTATTCATTTTGGCCTTTTCAGTTTTCAAAAAGAATGGAAAATGAAGGAATGAAAGACATTTTATTTAATGTACAGGATGGCCGGGATATTTTTAGAATAGCACATGTTCATGTTTACATTTTGTACAACATCGAATCGAACAGCAGTGTTAGTTTCAATGGCTTTTCAGGCGTTTTTGGCTCCATAAAGACATGCTGGTATCCTACATATTAAATAAAATACCTTTCATTCATTCAGTGACTGCATGGAGGTATTAATAAAAGTAGGTATACTTAATTCCTTCAAGCTAAGTAAAAAATACAGGCCTATGGCTTGACTCCCACTGTAAACAATTCCACTTGAGAATCATTCATGCCGAAACATAATCGCCTACTATTCTCATCCACAGGGCTATTTTGATTATTTTTCAATGAATATACAACCATTAAAATCATTATTTTCCATCCTTTTTGAAAATTGAAAATACCAACATGAATGACCATATTCACCGCTCGTTCAGTAGTGCACGTGGTGGTAACAACGTAATTTCTTATAACTGATTCGAGTGAAAGATTAAAATTACCCATTCACTTTTTTGGCATAATTCTTGCCAGTACAGCGTGTTATCCGGCCAGTTAGTGGGGGTCGCCATCATCAAAATAAACCTCATGTGCATTTTCCAAAAAAACAGAATCGCAACTTTTAAGACATCAAAATCTGTCGTCATGACCTCCTCGAGTTGCAACTAATCTAGCCTTTCCCGTCAGTTCATACCAGGATGGTTTCAGCAGTTTTCATATTTGATTTATTTAAATATTGGAAAAGATATCAATATTGTTTTAAACGCGTTTCTTCTACATTAAACCATCTGTAGTCATGCAAAATAAAAAAAATACGGCCTTCGGCAAAAAAATCCTGTGACACCGTCATTTGGTTCTGTTTAGCAGACGAATTTCCGTTGAATTCCAGGCCAGTCCCTGATTCCATCCCTGACCAACTGTCAAGCGATCGCCATTACTATCGACGATTCTACAGAAAAAATCACGTTAGTATAAGTTCCTGACGCGCGAAGATAGAGGGAAATGGACACCGCCATCTTATAGAGCGGGGAAAATAAGGTGAGTTACTTCATAATTTAAGCTTCAGCAGCATTATATTTACCGATAGATTAAAAAAAATGAAGTCCACAACACCCTTACGCAGCCAGAGTTCCGTGTATATCTACATTTTCTATGGAATCGTTTAAAGCTGCGTAAACTCATTTATACCCCTTACCCCGTCCCCCCTTCCACCCTTTGGAACTCTGAGTCTCTACGAGGATGCGTCGCTATCGTTAACAATTACCATAACGTGTATTTCCCAAATAGAAACAAACCAAACTCCACAGTGGTAAAACAAAATCCTTTTGTGCAGGAGACGAAACCGAAGCAGGAAGGCCTCACTCATCGCTTGACTTGGTTGTACGTATGTCATTCTAGGCAAGGTCTACATAGACTGGTTATTTTCTTAATGTTTACCCCTCCCCCTACACACACACACACACACACACGCATACACACACACCACACACACACACATACACACACACACACACACACACACACACACACACACACACAACACACACACACACATACACACACACACATACACACACACATACACACACACACACACATACACACACCACACACACACACACACATACACACATACACACACACACACACACACACACACACACACACACACACACACACACACACACACACACACACACACACACACACACACACACACACACACAC